GAGTTTTTTGTTTGTTTCTGAAAATCACCTAGGCGATCGCTGTCTCAGATTACACTCGTCTTTGCTGTTGTTTTTGGCTTATGCTGACGGCAATCCCGGCTATTCTACTAATGTCTTCAAAGTTCCATTCGATTCTCATACGGCTGTTTACAGCTGCACGGCGACAACACACTCTACCCACCACCCAGTAGAATACTCGGGGCGCGTTGCCCTGAGAAACGCCATCAGGGCATTCCGTTACCTGCCGGCCGTTGTCGTCGCGGCTGGCAGTAAGACCGCCCAATTCAATACCCGCACGATTATTTATACCCACCAACCCTCTGACTTCTACTGTATTGAATGCTGACAGCATTAACGACCACGTCTCGACGGAATCCGCCTTCAACAATCGTGATGTTTATGGTGGCGTTGGGCTCATTCAGGAACGCTTGGCGTTTCCTAGGCCGCAAGTGTCCCAACAGGCTGATCGGGCGACTTGTTTTGCTCGCGCATTTCCTCGCCTTTGCTTACTTACGACCATTACGGCCCGCCGAGACGGCTCTTTACACTTGTACTACAACAGACGTCCCCTGCACGTTGTAGAAACATCTGTTCACATCAATTGTACCAGACAACCGGCTGACTTTTATGACACGGCGCGTACTGGCCAGGATTGTGGCGAGTAGCCCACCCAGCTCTGGCCGCTCTGAGCTTCTCTGACGTTTTCTTACTTTCTTGTTCAGAGTGCTTGTTTTTAGTAATGATTGCTTTTGAATATTTCTGAATTTTGTTCCTTCCCAACTCCCCTGTCCCCCTTCCCTCCCCCCACCCNCCCCCCTAGGCTACTCCTAATGAACTCATTTTTTTATGGTTGGTTCAACTGGAAGAGACTACTGACGGTGGCCGTTCCACCGCGAGTACAGCCCGTTACGTTTCAAACTAAATTTAATCAATTTGGATAGATTGGAAAAATCTAATCCAATTAGGGTAACCACCCTATCGGATGGGCGATAGGATTGGTCTCTCTGTTGGTAATCGCCCATATCCCATTCAAGTCTATGTCCCAGTCTTGTGTTTTCTCTTGAAAGGTAGCATTTCGTCGGGAGAGCTCAACATCCTTTCCTGCCCTTAAATTCAATTTTAACTTCGGACTGAAAAGTAGATTTTCAGCATCTCTTTCCGCCATTCCATCATAGACCTACCTAATGTCAGCCATTCGATTCCAGGAATTCTTTGCCATGTTTCTTGATGCTGCTCTTTTTTGGTCCATCCATAATTCATTCAATTTCATCTTGATTAGTTATTCTGCCACATTCACTGCCTGAAGGCTTTCAATTATTGAAAAAAGTCAAACCATCTGGCAAGCAGGCCTATCAAGCTTAGTCATGGAACAATTGAAAAACGCCGTCGGAAGAACTCATTCAATTCATGTTGTAAAGACGAACAATCGGATGGCTGCCTTATTCTGCCGAGGTGGTTATGCCCCCTGATGCGAATACCTCCAGTTTTCTAATCCTTTTGACTATTTCCTGTTTGAGCGCTCTGACTAGCTACGGGCATATTTCCCAGTTATGCAGGAAATTGTCGGCAAGTAGAGGGCTATGGCTGTCGTCCGTATTGCTAGTGGAAGCTAGTTGAAGCTAGAGGAAGGTGGGCCCAGTCCCATGGGGTAGGTAAATCGGTATAGACCCTTTAGGGTAATGAAGTCTGCCTTCTAACCTTTGGAATGCCTATTGCGGCTCACAGTCACTACCTAGACCTTAGTCTAAGCCTGGAAAAAAGAGCATCAACCTGAATTCCCGTTATCGTGCCGGCATTTCCCAATTAACAGCCTTTCATAGTGATTACTCCGGTCTGTTACGTTTTGTTCTACACATCCCTCATTAACAAAGTACAGGGGTACACTTTGGGAGGTTATCATCGTAGCCCAGTGGTGCGTAAAGGTTATCACATGATCATAAGTACAAAAACTAGTGAAGTTCGTCGATTACGAGTTGTTTTCATTACTAAAGTAGAAAATAATTAATAATGACGTCTTTAATGTCTCCAACCCTACCGAGTCATAGTTTCGACATAACACTGTGATCATGGGAAGGGGTAGAACTTTGATTTCTTAATTATTTTTGATATAATCAGACTGAAACACTGTGCATAATTACTAGTCAGTTGCGTTGAAACCACAAATGCTACCGTAATCGGTGCCATATTTAGACCTTGACGAGAGTGTAGTTATCATATTTTACCACGATTACGAGAGTATTCAGGAAATTCTCGTTGGAAACCTTTTGCTGTCCAAGGGCTAGGAGGAACTTCGGAGAAACAGGGGCTCATGGTTGCCTGTGCTCTCAACTGGTTGCACTGCATGGGTATCACTGATCTGAGGATTTCTGAGAGAATGTTACGGTATAGTTAAGGGGTTCGGTTTTTTTCATTTTGGAAGAAACACCACTCTTTCGTAAGAAAAAAGTATTTCACAGTTGTTTTATAACGTCAGTTCACCATTTTTGATGGCCGAACTGCCTAATTCACGGCAAACCTTCTGCCCCTGCACATTAAGGCAGCCTCCCGGTAGACGGTCTTTCGAGTACAGCATTGTTATGAAAATTTTCTTTCACAAAAAATATCTCTTTTCACTTTGCGCTCGTGCACTAAAATTGTCGATTCTCCTATTCCGGAACCATAGGGTTTCTACGGACTAGTTCGTTAGCTTTTGTCGATTGGACGTTTGAATGAACGATTTCGTTTCACAGTCGTAATGTAGGCACAAACCTGCCATCATTAAATCACCGGTTTCCCTTTAATGATTACTCCCAACCAGTTGAATATAGCCAGTCCTCAGGAGGAATTATCCCAATTCCAGCAGGTAATTATGTTTTCCCTCGAATGTCCCAGCAGAGTTCGAAGTGGTCTCAACTTCTACTTTTGTTTCCTTTCCTACCTCTCCATCTCGTCCCCATCCCTCTCAACCATGGCTTAGTTTACCATTACTTAGGAAGGTGGTTATAGCTTACCCATCTGAGTAATACCCATACTCTTCTGGAGATAATTTGGATAAATGAATGTCTTATCATCTCGGCGCTCTGGTTGATTACTTTCAATTGTTTTTATAAAAATGTCTATTATAGGCATACAGCTTCCTAGGCCTCCAATTTTCAGATTTCCGAACCGACTATTTTATAAAAATGAAAATAAAGTAGGTAGAACCCTTTCAAGGCGCTATGACCACGGCTCCCGCCAGGAAATTGGAAAGCATTAAATGCCTGCGTTTAAGATGATTTGCTTCATCCTGTTGCGAATGCCACAGCTTCCGATTCTTTCTTAGCGTAACTGGTTACTACCCCTTTGAGATAAATACAACGCACGCGATAAACCTAAGAGTTACTCCCTCGATTCCTGCGATACGCTTCGCTGTTCACTATCCCTTGCTTCTGAGAGAGTTTACCTTATACGTACCCTTTCTTCACGTAAATAATTATTTGTTTTGTCGTTTTTGTTTAGTTATTCACCCAATGTGCATGACAGAAATATGCCATCCATTACCTTCACTGATAGTTATCTAAAATAGCCAAATGGCCAATAGTTCAGAAGTTTCGCAGCTATTCTCTTTTCTTCCTCACTGATTTCTCTTGAGTGTTTTTGGGACTGAAATTACTTTCACTTCTTTTCTTTGGGTACCTTTTGATTACAATAGTCAGCCTTACTGTGCGCTTACTGTATCGCATTTGTGTGCTTGCTTTTAGAATGGTAATAAGCTTTCACCATGAGTGTGGTAACCAGCTTTCACCATAATTTTGAGGCTCATGCTGATGCGCTGTAGTACGCTTGAGCAAAGTTACTACTTGTAAAATAAATATGATCTAATAAATCTCGTGTTTGCAACTTTCCAGCGTCGCTTCTGTTATTTACCCTCCCCGTAGGTATACCTTCTGTTCACTGTTCATTATTTTCAGATGGATACGAATCGTACGCTTATCGACGATCTTGCCTCAGACGAGTTTCCTACTCCATCGACGTCAATGACATTCGTTGACGAATCACCAGTAGCACGTGATCTTCTGATTGGCGATTTGCCAGAACCTGATCCCAACAATATCACGGGAGTTACTGTTGATACGACGACACAAGGTCATGCTGTGTACGAGAATGTCTTCAAGTCGATAGGTTCGTTTTCTACTAGTCACTTCTGAAAAGGTGATTTGGCGCTGATCAGAGAAATAGCAGTCGTTATCGGAGTTAGGTAGGAAAGTGTAGCTTCTGGAGATTTAGTTATAATGTTTCTCTGTGGACGTTCCAGACTAAAAGGGAATGGGTATTGTCGGGAAAATAATGAAGAGATACAAATGGATCAAAGTAGCAGCGCATTGTGTTCAAGAGAAGTGGCATGGGAATGACCTGCAGAATTGGTCTCAGTGAATGATATTGCAAGGTAACAACGATACCACAAAAATCCGATGGTATTCCGCCGGGAAGATCACAACCATCTGAGAAAGTGAACTTAAAAGCCCGCCTAACCGCTAGCGAAATTATGTAGCTATCAGACAGTATTCGTGTGATCAGCAACTTGTTCTGGGTGCAGTCTGCTGATCATAGTTGCTGATGGCCTTACTGTATCAGAGACCTATATAGTTGTAGTTCCAGATATTCTGGTCAGAATGGAACAGTTTCAGAGTCATTACTGGACGAAAGCAGTTGGCTAGTCTATACAACGGTTGCTGCTGTTACGATATTGCTTATCGTGATCACCTGCTCAATAGTGGTCTGGATTGTGAAGCATAAAAAGTGAGTGGCTACAAAATTCTTTCATTGGGCTTTTCTGAAGATATTAGGCGTATTTATGCTGTACGGTAGATCCCTCTGTTTATTATTGTTGTTGGTAGCGATTTTGCTCTTGACGCTGAGCAAAAAACCAATACCATGACTCCGAGCATACAAAAAATAGAGAATTTGTTGGCATGCCCGTAATAAGTTGCCTATTTCAGAAGAGTAATCCAACAAGACAACGATCCGATTTTGACCAGTACCTACGATGGAGGATTTTCGTGGAGAAAGTAGGTTTCCATTAGTTCTCGTTTCCCAGAACATACATATCTCCCACACTGCTCCTTCCTATTGCTTTTTTTTTATTTTTTCCAAAGCGTTCTTTTTACCTATGTCGTAAGTTATGCTGAAAAAAAAGAAAAAAGCCACACCGCCCTTTTTTCAGCGTTCTGAGTATGTTGTAAGTTGAAGAAGAAAACAACGTGAAAAACAACTTTTTTCTAGATGTTTCTGCTGTACCACACCAGCTGACAAGCAAGCTCAGCTTCAAGCTCGACAAAATTCCGCAAGCAACATGGACCCATATAAACGACCCCCTCTGCCACCAATTGGATTGAAACCTGGTCAGTCACGAATTGTTGATCGATTGTGATTGGTTTGTTTACAGCTTGGGGGTCAAATTTGTCTGCATGTTTAAATACACCATCAACGGAAATAATCGCACACCATCAAAGAAAGGCTTCATTTCAAAAACAAAAATAAAACTCAACATTAAACTCTCAGGTTGCGTTTAGAGTTTGCGTATAAGACGTGTCGGAAATCTTGCGGCTATCATTAATATGCATATCGATTACTTCGCTAACCCCTTTTGGGCAGCCCATTACTCACTACTTTTCTTTCCATGGCATTGTGTTTTGCTGCAATTACGTTGAAAAACTGGTCATGCTCTAGGCCATCGAACTCCCTATGGTTAAAATTGCTATGCCCATTAGATTTTCGGTCCTATTTGGAAAAACCGTAACCAGTTACAGATACATATATCAGCACTTTCAATCGCACCGATGTATTGAATGGATCAGAAAGGCCACCAACAATTGATGAAAAATCACTCGCCGTTAACATAACAAGTAAGTTTTACTACACCACTACGGGTGTGGGTACTTCTACCCGAATGACCTACCGCGTATGCAGCCGATTGTTCGCTGTCGCGCACAGTGGGGAAGGTTTGAATTCTTGGCGGAAGGATACGGTAATTCCCCGAAGTCGACGCCTTGCGTGGGAATTCGGGTAGAGGTACCTCTCCCCCATCAGTATTCCTACTTGTAGGTATCCATGAATAACTCGGCCTTTCAGGCATCCGTGGTGTACCACATGTCCACCTGAAGCCGGAACAGTATCGAAATCTGCCACCGTTGAAGATGCGATACAACTGAATACTTCGCAATCGGAAATGATACTAAGTGATATGCGCGGTAGAACATGACTGGAAGATGTTCCCTACGAAGTAGATCAGAGCTCTTCGGGAGTTCAATGTTTCTTAAATTCCTTTAACGTCCAAGCCTTGATGATCCTCATTTACCCGGCGGGTTCGATTTCATTGTGAGATATCTTTAACGATTTCTAGTGTATGCAGTCATCTACTATTATATCTATTAAGAGATGTCTACTTTCTTTACAAAGCCGCGTACCAGTTGCATCGCGGCATAGTATCGTGCATGACAAACTTCTACTCATATGCTGTGCCATTTCTCGACCACGTCCCAAACAAGTATTTGTTGACTGCATTGCGTTTATACTACGCGAATATAGAGAATATCATTATTATACTTCATTAAAATGTAATTTTGTTAGCTGGTATCGCCCGAGAGATCTGTGTGAGCGAAAAAATTACCGTGAAGCGGCTGAATCTTTAGTAGATTTATTCAGAAGAATTACTGGTTTTAGAATGTCTATTATAGTAGAGATTCACTTCGCGCAAATGTCTTGTTTGTTTATACTCAAATTTCGATAAATAAATGATTATGTTCTGCGGAGTGTTTTGAAATCATCGCGTTAGACCGTTGGTGGTTATTGATTTTACGCGGTGCTAATCGCGTGAAATCAATACCCATTCTTGGGTATGGAGTAGGCGCAACGCATTCAACAGAAGAGAAGCCACCCCTCTCTTTACCCACCACGATACAAGCGTGATTTTTGTTAAATGCTGAATGAAAGGAACAGGAAGCTCTTCGAGACGGTCCTTCCGCTGTGGAGTTAGTTCGCTTTTCTCTCTATACCACAAGCTCCCGCAAAGCTCTCGGACTGATAGAGGTGATAGACATCGTTATCAGGAGAGTGTTTTCGACTGCCCTGAAGGAGGTGAGGATCATTTTAATGCTAGCTCACCCATGACAACATGGATCATCAGTAAGTTGTGCCATGACCTTCATCATACATAGGAATACTAGTATAAATGAGCGATCAGGTCATTTTATGTCACTTTCACTTGAATATCGATTCTTAACTTTAGAATATTTATCAATCGGTCATTACGAATGGATAAGATTAAGTGCGTCGGTTTCGATATGGACGCTACACTTGCAAGTAAGTTATAGCTCGTCTTAGGGTCAACGAACACCTTCTTGGCAGGTCACCTTCGAGACAGGAGAGGTTTGACTATCAGTAGGAGGGAGAAACTTGAAGTGATGCTCTTCTTATCGTTAGCTGGACGGTAGAGATGTGGTGACTTGGAATACCCAAAAAGAAGCTCAAAGTTAGCTCGTGTTGAACATGGGGTTGTCGGGTCCAGACACTATACACCTTGATGGGAGGATACTGAGGAGAGGACCGAAGTCGCTGTTGTGCGACATGCAATCATCAGTGGTTCCATGGCCCACAGGATCGTAAGATGACTTTCACTCAATGAACCTATCTCCCCACCTTCTCTCCCACCGATAGGCAGAGCACGAATACGGAGAATGAATATCGATTTTACGCGCGTAACATCCGTGCTCATACTAAAATGAAAGATATGAACACACACTACTATTGACCTTGTTTACTTCTTGCCAGAGTAGTATCCTTCAGCCATGCGTGATCAACTATGGAGTTTAAGTGTTGAAATCTGTCGGAATATACTTTCTAATGCTCCTATTGTATTTGTAAACATGCTCATTTCGTAAATACCTTATTGTTCAGTATACAACTCGCCAATAACCGAAGAACTAGCCTTCACACTTTCCATCCAACGTTTGGTTGATATTGGGTACCCAAAAGAAATTCAGGTGACTAAACATCTAGGGCTTTGTTGGAAGGATTTCTGACCAATTCGTTGTAGGGGCTGAAATATAGGACGAATTTTGTGGTACGGAATGCTTGGTTCGATAAAAGATTCGGAAATCTTCTGAAGACAGATGAACACTGTAACATATTGACAGCATTTCATGGATTTAAAAAGTTAGACAAGTAAGCTCCGATGCCTCTTTTACCCAGACAACATAGGGGGCTGTATAAGTACGAACATGGCGTGAAACCCTCCGGTGTAGGTGATGGTTCTGTTCAGGAAGGAAATCCGCCAGTATTATCCGAACAAGCACATAAATCTCGAAGAATCTCGGATTTTTGTCTTGAATACAGTGTTCAACGTTCCTGAAACTTTTTTACTCGCTTCTGTTATTGACTACTTTGAACACCGAACTGAATATGAAAAGTAAGGCTTTATAGATCCTCCCTTGTTGAAGCTTGCCTAAGCTGTGAATGCAAAAAGCCCATAATTTTCAAGGTTGCCTCTCAAAGAGGGATACAGTAGAAAGGATACTCAACAAGTGCTACTTTACTCTGCTATATTCGATGATTGCAGAAAAACTATTGATTGGATTCATACAATGGTAAGAACGAAGTGTTTCATGAAAGACTTACACGTATGGCTGCTTTCATAGTCCACGATTTGGCCCGCGAGCGAGCGAGCGACCGACTGACCGAGCGAGCGAGCGATTGGGGCGGCGTTTGTCCCTTGTTTACTACTGAATCTTGTCTCGGTCGGTCAGTCGGTCGCTCTCGGGCCAAATCGTGGACTATGAAAGCAGCCTATTTGATACTTATCCTCGTGATACCGATCATGGAAGTGCAGCAGTACTCATCAGCGCAGACTTTGTCCCCCTTCAGCCCGGTAGTGGAGCGCGAAGAACGAAGGCTTTCAATTTGATACATCGTGAAACCCAGACAGCTAAAGCGTTGGCGAAAAGAACAGAGAGGTTGGCCCCATCGAAATTGTTTTGATCAGAAGGTTAGCGCACACAGCCAGCTCCGTCTCAGCCCGATTTCGTCATCATGGCCGCGGAAGGAAATATTCAGAAACCAGAACATTGGTCATCAGGATTAAAGGCCCCTAGGATGCCATTGACCCCTAGGGACGCTGTTGGGTCCAGCGTACACATCCAAGGTGGACGAATTGTTAAGCGCTATGAAAGTTGCAGGCGCTGCGGGAGCGCATCTTCAGTCACTCGACTATAACACGAACCATTAGATAGGCTACCAGAACTAGAAGAAGAGTATTATCGCTAATGGTAAAAGCTCCACGTAGCTCCAAATGTAAAGCAGCTTTTAATGACAAGAATAGTGTGGCCTGGGATCAACTGCCACGTCCATCCGTGCACTTCGGAACTGCTTTGGAGAGCCGAAGGCACGTCTTAGAAGAGCAGAGGCTTCAACAATAGCACTGTCGTCTAAATGAACATCATGAGCATCTTTTCTCAATCTGGCGGAGCAAAGAGCCATTACCCATCAATGCCTGGTTTGCGAAGACGCTAAATTCGCTCTTCAATGGACTACAGTTCGGAATGTCTATTTGCAATAAAAAGAAGTGCAGCTAAACAATTCGATTCATCATGAAACCTTGTTTCCAGGGTAATTACAAAGAGGTCGTTATAAGGAACCTATCAGCATATGTTGCCCAAGATTCCCGTGCAGTGGAAATGATGCAGATGCTATCACAAAGCGGAAAGAAGCTTTTCTTACTAACAAACTCACCGTGGCTATACACCAATGTAAGATAGTATAGTTTCTAACTTACAACAGAATGATTTATAGTATTTCAAACAGTAATTCTGATAATCGGGCGGAAATTATGTAATGGAAAGTGGTGCACTATCCTACACGCCGGATCATGGGTTCGAGTCCCGTACCGATATCCCCCAGGCCAACCAAGCATTCGTTTATCCCGCGGTCGGTTAATTGGTACGGACTCGCCTGGGAGGATAAAAGCACTGACTTGTAAATCGTTTGGCCACGGCAATTCATTGTACAGGCCACATACACATTCATTGCGCCACTACGATTCCGAATAGAAGTCGAATGCTGGGCGCAACCGTCGAATAGGATTGATTATCGCCTGAAGACT